GGGCAGCAGCCACACTGGGGGAGCCTGCCAGGTAGCTGGGGACAAGGCTGTCCTTGGTGGGGAGTGTGGAGGCTGGGCAGGCAGGTCTGGGGGGTTGGCCTGGCAGTCGGGGGCAGCTGCCAGCAGAGGATGGGCTCAGGGGAGCAGATAAGGGGGAACTGACAAGGTGGGATGGAGGTTCAGCCGCCGGCGGGATCTTCCTGCAGCAAAAAGAGAGCCCCTCTGTGACTGCCAAGCAAAAGAGGACCTCCCCAAACATACTTGAGTCTTCCCCACCTAGTGTAAAAATGGCCAGCAAGCCCCAGGCTGCTGCCATCTGCTGGGAGACGCTGGAATTGAACGTGAGGGAGAAGGCACAGGGGCAGGAAGGAACGAACATGTGGTATATAGCGTGCAGATGCATTAAAATCCTCGTTTTAAATCTTGGTTTGGCCATCCCCTTATCCCATTACCTAAAAGGCACTGGAGTGATGGGCAAGAGTCTAGATTCACCCTAAACCACCGGTCCATTCCCTGCTTTAGCCCACTCCAGGCTGCCAAGTTTTCCCACCTCTTCAAGCCACTCGGCATCTGGAGCCTTCCTGGCAAACAGCCAAGGCACACTTATGGGTACATGTGAAGGATCAGGGCTTCTGAAGCCCATGGAGGCCCAGGGCCTGGGAAGGGAAGTTCTGGGCCTGGGAGACTCACTTCCACATGTGTGAGCTGAGGTGCCGTTCCAGCATGGAGCTGAGTGCCGAGCAGAACCGGTCCAGCCGGCGGCTAAACACGTAGCATCCTGGGCTTACCAGCCGGCTCCCAAAGGTACAGAACTGAAGGCAGAGGAAGAGGTGCAGTTGGCGGGGCTTCAGGTACAGGGAGGGCATCTGCACACAGAATTGGACCTCCTCCCTATACTGGGAGCCAGGATGGCCAGGCCACCCAAGTCCCGAGGCCCCTGCTCAACATCTACTTACCGCCTGTGGCCGCGGAGGCCGGGATGCATAATGGCAGTCGGGGGAGAGGTGGAGGTCATCAGATGTCCCCTCCTCCTCACTCTCCTCGCTGGAGGCCTGGGCCCCACCCCGGGGAAGGGGGAAGGGGAACAGGCCTGGGTCCCCATCACCACCACAGGGGCCTTCGTCATCCAACTCACTCTCAGAGGAGGCCCGGGACCTGGAAGGGCCAATGGGGACGTGAAGGTGATATGACGGGTGTAGGGTCAGGGTGGGGATGTCCCTGAAC